TGAAACCTAGTTGAGATGATGATTAAATTAAATAGAATAGAATAGCAATAGATATATAGGTTTTAATGGTTTATGATGTGTGCCTACCTTCTTCAGGTCCTTCCTGCATCAACTTCACCCGTTCTCCAGGACACGAGAAACTTTAATCGTTATCAAAGAGTAAATTACATAAATGGTCCCTGAGGTATTAAGATTTTCCTTGGTATCAGTTAGACTTACCAGTAAAGAACCGATGAAATAACCAAATATTAAAAGTTTTGAAACCACAGGGACCAATATTGATTATCTTAAAAGTTAAGGATAAGGACCAATATTGATTATCTTAAAAGTTAAGGATAAGGACCAGACTCGATTTTTTTTGAAACCACACCACCCATTTTTTAAGATTTTCCTTTTATATATATATATATATATATATATATATATATATATATATATTATATATATATATATATATATATATATATATATATTCTAATAAAAGACTCTTTAATAGTCCACATGACACCTTTCTACACTTCTATTTTGCCACTTGGCATCTTCTTGTGAAGCATTCTCTCTGATTCCCGCTCATCCTTATTTCGTTCCAGCTTGCAGAGGAATCTCCTATAAATCAGCAATTGATCCTAAATTTGAATTTTGAAAGAGATAATTGATACTTGATAGAGTTTCCATCTATATCCGATAATATTTTCTTATATGTAATATCCCAATTTTTTAGGAAGAAAAATAATTGTTCTTCCTTTCTTTCACACACACATACAAGACAGGGTCGCACCCAAACTTCCCTTTCTCTATCGCCGCCACCATTACTCACCTTCCCCACCCAAGTTTGCTTTCTCTGCTTCTCTGTGTTTCATCTCTCTACGTCTATGTGGTGCTGAAGATGGAAGAGACGAAAGATGTAATGTAGATTATGGAAGATACGAAAGGAAAATCAATATCATTGCCACCACCACTGTCTCAACCAACACCACAACCACTCATCGCCGCAGGTGGTATTTAGAAATATGAACAAATGCAAGGTAATCAGATTCAAATCAAACCCTAAAGGAGGCTAACATGCATTTTGATCATTCTTGTGAGTATTATTGATAACAGATGCAATTACCCTTTATACATGTTTGTTTTTTTTCTTAGCCAACTCTTGGAATGTTAGAGCTTAAGGCAACCCTTCACAACATCTAATTCTAATTTGGGCATTTTTTCATTACTTCATATATAAGTAGTAACTAACATCCTAATTTTTCAGTTATATGGTTAGCTGTCAACTATTAATTTTAGATCATGCATGGTATATTCTGGAGCATTACATTCTAGATTTGTGCATTTACTTGGTTTTTATTGACTTTTTGGTAATACAGGTGAAAAGCTCAAGGCATATCAAGTAAGAAATATATTTTGATTGTCTAAACGCTTTAATATAATCTGATTAGTATATACTTACTCACTCCTTAAATGTAGGGCTTAGAGATGGATTGATTATTAAGATATACAAACTGTAAAGTTGGCTTCTATACTTTTAATTTTAATTATTTTCATAGGATTATTGCATGATGTGAGTCACTGTCTATTCAGCCATTTGATTAGCCAAAGTTTCTGCCTTATGTTATTCATGGCTCAAAAGAATAATTTTGCATTCCTTCAAGATCCAAGAGAATGTTTGGTTTGTGGATTTCGAGGTAATTGAAAATTGGATTCCATTCTATGTGTATTTGGTTGCCAAACAAACTAAATCATTTTACTTGGATTCCTTCAAATTCCATGATGGATTTCACCGTTTGCTATGAGAGGGTGTAAAGAATTCAACTCCAATCATCCTTTATATTAATATACGAACATACACCATTATATAGTTATTGAAATATATAAAACGTTTATTTATAAATGTCTACATCGCACAAGTAAAAGTTTAAATATGAATTTTTTTATAAGTTATTTAGTTTTTATTATTCTATTTCACTCCATTGTTGCCAACTGAACAGGTAAAAGATTATAATATCCAAAACAAGTTAATTTAATACATTCATCTAGATATATATTTTTTAGATTGATTCCATCTAAATATTATCCTTTTGTTATATCCACAGATGCTCAATGTTGCATGCAAAAATTGCTATATAGAAGTGATATTGAAATAATAATAATAAAAACCATTGACATACACACTAAAGAAAACAAAAATAAGAAAGATTCAATTCTTAAAATCATGTGTGCTTATGAAGGATTTATTGGACCCAATTCTTAAAATCATGTGTGCTTATGAAGGATTTATTGGACCCAGTTCATGATACCAATCTTTAGGTAAGGTACATCATAATCTTTATGGGCAAAATGCAGACAATAACAATGCACTTTCTTTAGGTAGGGACGTTATAATTTATCTACTTATTTTAAAAATCTCATAATTTATCTACTTATTTTAAAAAATCTTTTGTCATGAAATGTTTATTTTGGTTATAAATGGGTGTTTTTTTTATAGATTCAAAGGTGGAAGAAAACAAAGATTTACTATGTAATGATGAGTGTAGATTATGATTTCTCGATAAGTGGATCCAAGGGCTATGTAAGATGCATCCTGATACTCTTTTCATGAACTTATTCATTTATTTACTTAAATTTTCTTATTGACATCTTTGTTATATTCATAAGTTTTTATTTAATACAGATGCTAAACCTTTTTCATTCAATTTATTTGTCTATTAATCTTTATCGTATTCTACTTGCTAAACCTTTTTCTTTTCTTTATAAATATGATTCTTGTCCTAACATGATCCTCAAGTTTCTAGTATGTTCGTAACATTTTATTTTTTTACAATTATACAAATAACATTTTAACTAAATTACTTGACTTAATATACAGGTGGAGGTCAAGAAAAATTTTAAGAAAAAAAATATCGATATTTTTTTTTTCTAAAAATTATCATGTCAGTAAGGTTTAATGCGTGAAATAGCATTGCGTGTTGCTGGGGGTGGGCAAATATGAATGAAAGTAAGTAAATTACATTAATATAAATTTGGAACTAGATGAAATATATTTCATAAGTTCAGTTAAGCAAACGATTGACAAGAAAATTTTACAAGAAACATTTTTGAAGTACTTTTAGTTAACTAGCACATATTTAAAAAATGATCGTCATATAAGGTTTTCTTATCTATTTACAAGAAGATTTTACAGCACGTGTTACGGTGTGTGCATGTGTTGTGTTTCACCTTGACTATTGCTATTTCTTGACTGTATACAAAGTTTATTGCAGCCTAAGTTTAAATGTTAGATAACATCCTACTTTTAACTTACAAGTGTTAATAGCATCCTAAGTTTAATTTCTAAGTGTTAAATAGCATCCTACTTTTAATTTTTAATTCTTAAATAGCATCCTACTTATCAATCATATCCTAGCAAGTGTTATGTTTGATTTTACCAACTTAAATGCCATAATTGATTTTGTTCTTCGAAGGTTAGAAGATGAGGTTGGAGAAGAAGAAATGTATGATTCTATTAATAGGGGAAACAAAGATAAAAAGAAAATGGCTAAATACAAGAATTCCCAATCATTTTTTCATTTGTTTTCTTTTTATTATTGGAATATATTTTTTGTTATTCCTACAATAGCGTTGTATTTTCATGTAAATTTTATTACATCATTGTATATTGAAAAGTACCATGATTTTGTTAATTTTTTTAATTTTTATTTTAACACTAATATTATACTTTTTATCAATTGTGATCGAGTAACAAATAAGACTTCTCTATAATTAGACCAAATAAGTTAAACAACGTGAAATGAAAAATAATCAAGCCCAATTTCCTACATAAACCAAAACATCATAAAATAATAGAACATCAAAGCTCTACACTTATATGGAAATCTTACAAATTTTGCATTTGAAAGACGAGATTTAACTCCAAAAGTCACTTTTCGAAAAGGAGATTTAACTAGGTCAAAGTGGGAAAATATATAACTCTTAAGGATTATCAAACATGAAAACATATTATAATTTTATTTAAGTTATGAACATATGTATCACACAGTACACATAACACTTAGTAAATAAATTAATGATTTGTAATGTAATAAACAATGATTATTATTTTTAGTTAGTATATTTTTTATTTCTTGAACCGTGGTTTCCACGGGTTATAACCTAGTATATATATATATATATATATATATATATATATATATATATATATATATATATATATGAAATCTCATGGACCTTAGCAACAGTAGTTTTTTGGCCTTTAGGTTTTTGTCACAAATCTTTGGTGAATTTGACACTTTTCGTCCCTAAAGTCAAAACTTTTACATTTTTGTGTTTTCATTAAGTTTTTATGCTTTTAGGTTTTTGCCACAAATCTTTAGTGACTTTGACACTTTTAGTCCTTGCAGTCAAAAAAGGTTTACATTTTGGTGTTTTTGCCACAAATCTTTAGTGAATTTGACACTTTTCGTCCTTGTACTCAAAACTTTTACATTTTGACATAAAAAACACAAAAAAACCTCCTTTTGAATTTTGCCACCATATTTTCCCTACTTTGCCAACTTTACCATTATTGCCACAATATTTTTGATTGTTCTCCACCAGTGTCCCTTTTTTGGTTGTACACTTTTGACATCTAATTTAGGGGCTTTTGACTTTCTCCCCTATTTGTGGTGATTTACAATTTTTAGCACATATCTTATAAAGTTTGTCGATCTTTCCCATATTACCCAAAAGCGGCGTAGCACATATCTAATTTAGGTTCTTTACTAGTTTATATAAAATTGCTTATGTAGATTAATGGATATTTCTTAAAGTAAGGTTATGGTGAAGTTGATATTAGGTTAGATGGCCTTAAACACATTTTATGAAGTGTACTAATTGCCAAATATCACACTCCATGATTATAACTTCAATTATTAAATTAAAAGGATAAATTAGTAAAATTCGATTCTCATACGCTAGTATATAAATATATATACTCTTCACATATCTCACTCTCAAAAACCAAGACTATGGCATCGTTTACAGCATCACCAACCAAAACCCCTACTGCCACTACCTCCACCGGTGGAAGGAGCTTCTCTTCCTCATTCACCTACTCTTCTTCCTTCTCTTTTAAATCATCTCAAGTTCCAATAGCCAGAATCTCCAACCATCGCCATGCAGTTTCATGCAAAACCATAGATGATGACAACCACCATGCAAACTCCAGCAAACTTGATAGGAGAAACATCCTCTTAGGGATCGGAGGTCTGTACAGCGCCACCACCACTTTTGGATCTAATTCATTGGCCTTTGCTGATCCAGTCATGGCACCCGACGTCACAAAATGTGGTCCAGCTGAATTACCTAAAGGGGTTGAACCCATAAATTGTTGCCCTCCAACCACCACAAAGATTCTAGACTTCAAACCACCACCGTCTAAAACTCTCCGTGTCAGGCCGGCGGCACATTTGGTCGTTGATGAAGATTACATAGCTAAATTCAATAAAGCTATTGAGCTCATGAAAGCTCTCCCACATGATGATCCACGTAATTTCATGCAACAAGCTAATATTCATTGTGCGTATTGCGATGGCTCGTATAAACAAGTCGGTTTCCCAAATCTGGAACATCAAGTACATACCTCATGGCTATTCTTTCCTTACCATCGCTATTACGTATACTTTTTCGAGAAAATTTGTGGAAAATTAATTGATGACCCAAATTTCGCTATTCCATTTTGGAACTGGGATGCACCAGATGGTATGCAAATCCCTGATATTTTCACAAATAAGAATTCTCAATTATACGATCCTCTTCGCGATAAGGATCATCAACCACCGTCTGTGGTTGATCTTGACTTCAATCGTGTCGACAAAAATCTGAGTCGCTCTGAGCTAACGTCCAGAAATCTTAGAGTTATGTATAGACAAATGGTGTCTAGTGCAAAGACTGCTAGTCTTTTCATGGGTAGACCTTATCGTGCAGGTGATGAGCCTAACCCTGGTTCTGGCTCGATCGAGGTCACACCACATTCTCCGGTTCATAACTGGACCGGAGATCGGAAACAAAAATATTGCGAAGACATGGGTACCTTTTATTCTGCAGCTAGAGATCCTATTTTCTATGCACATCATGGGAATATCGATAGAATGTGGTCAATTTGGAAAAGTCTAGGTGGAAAGGATTTTACAGATAAAGACTGGCTTGATTCATCGTTCGTGTTCTATGATGAGAATGCTGACTTAGTTCGAGCCAAAGTGAGGGATTGTTGTGACTCTAAGAATCTTGGTTATGTTTATCAAGAGGTGGATATACCATGGATAAACTGCAAACCTGATCGACCACCGAAAAGGGCTCCTGTATCCTACGACCACATACCATTTGCCAAATTTGCTTTTCCAAGGAATCTTGATAAGGTGATAAAAGTGCTGGTTCAAAGGCCGAAGAAATTGAGAAGCAAGAAAGAGAAAGAGGAAGAAGAAGAGATTTTGGTGATTGAAGGGATTGAAGTGAAGACGGATGAGTTTGTGAAGTTTGATGTTTTAATTAACAATGAAGATGATGGGATTTGGGCCACAGCGGATCAAATGGAGTTCGCCGGAAGTTTTGTGACTGTCCCTCATAGCAATGAACATGGAACGAACATGAAGACAAGGTTGAGGTTAGGGATAAGTGAGCTTTTGGAGTATTTGAGGGCTGATGATGATGAAAAGGTGTTGGTGACATTGGTGCCCAAAACTAAAGGCAGTGGAATTTCCATTCAAGAGATAAAAATCGAGCATGAAGATCGATAAAAATAAGTTCTCATTTTCTTTAAAAATTAAAATAATATGGTCATGATCGAGAAAGATATTATGTTTTTCAGTATGTAATACGTACCATATAAAAATAATTTTCGTAATCTTATATAAATATGATTCGAACGTTTGGAATTTAATTGCAAGTCATGAAATGTACTTCACTTGTTTACTCTCAAACGAAATGTAATTATATCATCACTGTATATAGTATTGTTGTATCTATCATTTTACATTTAACTCATAAAGATTAATTTTTGATGAATTCGGTGTTACGTTCATAGTTTGGGCGGAAGGCTATCAACGAGTTGGAGCTCTTTAATTTAAACCCCATTTTTGGCCGATTTTCAATTTTAAATTATTTAGTTTTAATTGAAAACCCAGATGATTAATATTGATAAGGCATTTAATTTCAATAATCTTGTGACAATTCTATTTTTTTTGAAAATTCGACAAAGCATGAGAAATTTGGCAGAGAGATATCATTTTAGAATATGCCATGTTACAACTTTAGTATATGTGTTTATTTAGGTTTTTTATAATCAAGTCAACTTCATTTCAATTTTAACCATGATCATCCCTAAGCTATGTTTTGCCATGCCAACGGTCTCCAAGGATAGAGGGAATGATGTCACGGATGTACCATGACAAAGAGCAAAGACCTCCCACCTCATTTTTGCCATACAAAGGGAGTGATGCATGGCTATATATTGTGGCAAGAAAGGAAGGAGAAGAGAAAAAATGTGAACAGAAAACAATGAATAGCTCAGCAGTGGGTTGTCATTTTGTCATGCCATTTGAGATGGAGCGGTGTAGGCCACTCCACCTTGGTGGCACCTATGCACCACATAGGGGGTATTTTAAGCACACACCTAAACCCTAAAGAGACTGCTTGTATAAAACCAAAGCTTTCAAATTTCCAAAAAACTACCAAAGCTTTCAAATGTCTAAAATCACAACTGATTTGTTTATTTACATACTAACCATGAAGTATATCAAACTTTTAATTTCGAGGAATAGCTCTTTTTCGTAGCAAACATTGATGATGTCCAGATGAATTTCATTAATTTGTCACAAACAAATGAATTTCACTAATGCCTAGCTTTTTGCCACTTTGTCGTAGCTATAGATCATAATGTTCTGTTGAATGACAAATCGTGCATAATACTAGACAAAATGCACATATTCACTGACTAGTGACAAATTAAGTCATACAAAACTAATTTTTGTTTGGTGGATAAACTCTTTTTTAAATTGAACCCAAATTAACTCAAATTAACTGATAACCGCCTGCCCGGATGTGAATATGGTTTAGTTAACAATAAGTTTGGAGACAAACACCAAACTGAATAACCCGGACTGTGTAACCCGAAAACCACCTAACCCGTCTGATACTTTAAAGGCCGAAAACCAACACTTCGATACATCCAAAATTCCCAAATGACTGTAGAGAATATGGCATCAATAATACCCATTTTATTAAATATTTATATATAATTATATTACTTTCATAAGTACAAATATGTAATATATTAAAGATAATATGTAAAATGAAATAATCATGTAATATTATTTATATTAAATAATATAAAGGATTAGAATAGAAAATAATATGTAAAATGAAGGACTATACATGTAAATTTTCTTTACATATAATAGATTATTAATATTAAAAATACAAAATATCAAACTGAAATTAATAATATATAACGTGAGGAGTTGTACATCTAAAAAGAAATTATATTGTATTGGTTGGTAAGTCAAAGTGTTTTTGACTTTTAAAATAGGTCTCGAGTGACATTTTGGGTAAGAGTAACAACTCCCACCACAGGTGCCGGGAAGACCTTGTCGAGCTCCATACCTCTGGCTAAATCAAGAATAATCAACAAAATTTAATTGTTATTTCTTGCATTTAACCCATAGTTTTTCTTTTTTCACACTTTAATTAGCTTATACAAAAAAACTAACTTTAATACAATCTCAAATATAAAAGGCAATTAACACTTTATATCCACAAAATACAAAACCAATAGTATGATGTTGTAAGTGCAAGAAGAGAAAATTGTAACATCTGTTTTTCAGGTATAAGTCTTTTGGCATTTAATTTTATTCAAGTTTGAGATGTAGGGATTTCAGCATGTCGCGGCGCGAACATTAGTGTGTCGCGATGTGACCACGTCACTTAATTAGCAGCGTCATCAGGTATGGACCATGATGCGGGGGAGGATGGGGTTCAAAACCCTAGGTCTAGGGTCTTAGACCAAATTTAAGGGTGCTAACATTTAGGGTTTCGTGCATTCTCTAGCCTCCATCTCCATAGCCCCCTTGAGTGTTTTTGGTGCATTGTGTGAGTGTTTGAAGCTTTTTGATGGAGATTCTTGACAAAGAAAGTGTATAGATTAAGATCCAGAGGTTGTGCATTAGTTCTGGGCCTTTGTAAGTATTGAAGATCCTTACTTTCTTAAATTCCATAGATCTAGGTTTTGATGATGCTTTGGTAGTCCTTGGTCCCTTATCTTATGATTTCTTGAAGTTTGGGAACTCCACCTGATTGTTGTTGTCCTAGACTCACTTCTAGAACATTTCCTTCGTTGAAAGTCGAGTTCTTTTCCTCATTCCAAGCCATGCATAGTCTTTGGGTCTTTTTGGGCCACTTTATGAGTTAGGGTTTAAGTTTAGGACTTGGGATTGGTTGGGAAATGGATAAATTCAAGAACTTTATCCATTAAGTCTCTTAGTAGAGTCAGATATGAAGATTTGAGCTCTAGACATTGAGGGTTAATATCTTAATGGATTAAGTTGTTTGGACATGTTGCGCTACGCTTGGGGTCGCAACACAGGTTGCAAAGGCCAATCGCTACTCGTTTGGCATCTAGTAACCGCATAGTAGTCTAGAAGTTGATCGCGACATTATGGCCACTGACTATTGACTTTCAACAGTTGACCGTTGATGTAACATCCTAATTTTCACGACCAAATTTTTTGTTTTTAATTAAGTAATTTATAAAACCATTTACTGAAAAACATCATCGATATCATATCAAACTCATAACCCATAAGTCAAATGTCATAAAAACATGTCATGGAATAATAATAATGTCAGAGTACAATCCCAAGAACATCATAGTGCGGAAAACAAGTGTGAGTGTGATGCGCTGCTACCGTGCCGGCTCCTTCCCCTTCGATGAAGAGGTACATGAAAACAAAACTATAACTGTAAGCACGAAGCTTAGTGAGTTCCCCCATCATACCACATATCATACATAACACATACAATCTAACATATCTGGGTACTACCCCCTTCGGTCTCTTTCAACCGGTAACTTGCCTAGCATATCAGGGTGCTGGCCTACCCCTTCGGTCCTGTCGACTGGTACCTAGCCTAGCATATCAGGGTGTTGGCCTACCCTTTCGGTCCTGTCTACCGGTACCTAGCCTAGCATTCAGGGTGCTGGCCTACCCCTTCGGTCCTGTCGACCGGTACCGGGGACTATTTCACCCCCACTTCTACCACATAGCATCCTAGTGCATAACATATAAATCATGCACCGCCTAGCTTATTCGGGTGATGACATACCCCTTCGGCCCAATCGACCGGTACCAGGGTTTATCCTACCCTTCCTATCATTATCACATATCATCGTAGCATCACAATACATAAACATAACATACCAGATAATTATCACAAAGACAATCATCTAACAAACAACTCCTACTAATGGGCTGGCATTGTGGCCGTAGACCCACTTCTACTGGAAGGTAACTCACCTCAATGTCGTGAAGTGTCTGAACTGTCCTCAGTGCGGGAATCAACTCCTCTCAAAAATCCTACACATAACAACCTTTCTTATTTAACATTTCATACTCTTAACCCTTTCAAGGGTCAACTCAGGTCAAAGTCAAAGTCAAGGTCAACACCGTGGTCAAAGTCAACATCCTGGTTGACTCAACTCGCCGAGTTAATCCATCAACTCGCCGAGTTCCATAATTCAGAGAAACTCGAATTCACGATCGGACTCGTCGAGTTACTCTCTAACTCGCCGAGTTTCTCCTTATTACAGAATCGAGACTTTCCACTTGAACTCGTCGAGTCCTTCCTTGGACTCGTCGAATTCTCCTTCATACAGATCGGAACATTTTCTCATTGACTCGCCGAGGTCATCCTTGAACTCGTCGAGTCCTGCTTCATATTAGTTGGGACATTGTCTTGAACTCGCCGAGTTCATCCTTGAACCCGTCGAGTCCTTTGATCTTCAAGTCCATATCCACGTCCACCTTGTTGAGTCCTCTTCTAGACTCAACCAGATCGATCAGAAACAGAAAAGGTTGGGGAACCATAACCCGACTCGCCGAGTCCTATGAACGACTCGCCGAGTCCCCCAAAGTCCATGTCTACCAAGTCGATTTCAGTCGGGTTTAATGCATCCTGAACATAGATCTGACCTCCTAGGATCGATATAACACGTAAAGTTACAATGAAGTCTACAAACTTTACGTGCATGCTTGGGTTAATTAGCTCATAAGGACCTAAAATGAAGTCTACAAGGTGCATGGGGCTCTCATGGCCATAATGTTGGCACCTTTATGCCATGAGAACCCTCCAAGGTTCAAGATCTAAAGTCATCACTCTACTATACACTCCACACCCAAATGTGACTTAGAATGTCCCAAAAATGACAAGATTCAAGCCCTAAAGAAGATCTAACAAATGGGAAGTCAAGGTTGAAGCTTTTTACCTCAAACCAGCTGGAAATGCAACCAAGACTCTGGATCTACTGCCTTCTTCTTGAACCTCCAATCCTTTCCTTCCTTCTTCAAGCTTCAAATCACAAAAATTGCACCAAAATAGCTCAAGAACAGTCACAACTGATTAGGGTTTTGAGAATGGGGTCTGAGGGTGATGGAGGCTGGAGTGGAGGCCAGTTAGAATGTTTAAATAGGGTGCAAACCCTCAAATCTAGGGTTTCATCCAGACAGGTCTACTCGTCGAGTTGATA